AAAGCAGGTTCCATTATTTTCAATCTTAGCTTTAACATTTTCATTATTTTTCCTGGCTTGGATGTCAGATGGGAAATCCATTTTCTGAGAGGGTTTTGTGAACAAAGAACATTAGTGTCACACAGCAGCTGCCTTTGTCCTTTGCCCTGACTAAGAAGATTATGGAAACATCCTGAGCACTCCAGTGGAGCATTTACCTGATGGCATGGGCGGCGGGTGAACCGCTGGCTGGGGGAGGCTAGCCCCTACCACCCCTGCTCTCCCCTGCGGCCCCGGTCCCCTTCCCCCGCCAGAGCCCCCCTGTCCCAAGCATCAGGCGGGTAGCGTACAGCCCCCGCCTGCCCACGAGCGCAGGGCGGGTGGGCGGTGCACAGTCCCTCCAAGGATGGGGCAGGCGCCCCCCCGAGCACAGGGTGGGTGGTATGCGGCTCCCCCGCACTTCCCCCAACCACAGGGTGGGCAGCCCCACTGCCTCCAGCCACCCCACCCCCCTGCTGGGCGGTCCCAGCAGCACTGAAGAGGAGCAGCCAGTCTGGTCTGGGGCCAAGGGGGAAAAGGGCAAGGAGTAGGGGGCTTTGGCAATAAGTGTGGGTGGGGCCACGCGGGGCTGTTTTGGGGGGGGGGGCACAGCTGTCCCCAGCTTATTGGATGCGCTGCTCATGCCTGATGGCATGTAAACAACACTTCCTGAGACACCCATTTGCCAGAAAGAGTATCCCTAAGAGGAGAGGTGGAAGTTGCATTGCTTGGAATATTATTATTAATTATTTTCTATTTACACAGCACCTGAAGTCTGGTAGGCAATTTACAAGACTAATATACAGAGAAGGCCTCTGCTCTCAAAAGCCAGTCAACCAGAGAGACCAAGGATGCAGGCAGCAAAGTAATGAGCAGTGAGGTTTGTATGCATCTTAATACCACAATTTTTCGTCAGTTAAAAAACCCCAATTTCCTATTTGAACACATCTTTGAGAAGAGAAAAAGGGTTTATAAGAGTACTGAGTGAATAATGAACCATCATTTATTCAATGAATGTAGCTTCTATTTGTGCTTGTGGGATATCAGCAAGCAGGTGAGGGTTTCCTCAAATTCATTTGAGAGTTTTTTGTAAATGTATTTTACTCTATAGATTAATCATGGGCTTTTGGCTACAAATATTCACTACACAATAATGAAATTTTAGCAATGCTTACTCGAATGTCAAGGTAAGTCACATGATATCATTAGGCTGAGCCTAAAAGCACTTCCAGTGTTAATATTTGTGTTTGTGAATGAAAAATTTCATTTCCAATCATTCTTGTACATGCAACTTTTAAATTCACTTTCATCAAATATTTCTCAGTAAATTTTGATTGTGTGAATGTTTGCAGAAACAAAAGACGTGGCTGAGGCAAATTCAAAAAAATAACCACGAGAATCTTTGGCAATACATGCCCAGCTCTGATGTATAGCACTAAAAAATGCACCAAAAAGAAGTTCCCTGCATTGGCCTCTGAAAAGATGGCCTGGATGACAAACCAGCTCTCTTCCAACATCTGATTTCTATTATTCTATCATTAGCAAGGCAGAATCTATTAGGATGCAAGTTTCTGAACTGGATCTGTTACAGCCAAGTACTATTAGCAATGAAAAATATTTTAGAAGTAGAACAAATTATGCAGCAAGATGATGCTCCTAGCAGGAATCACTGGAGCTGGCATTTCATACCATACAGAGGCATAGGTTATTCTGGGCTTGAGTTAACTGGTGCGGAAAACGTACGTGCTTAATCAGGGCCACAGACGAAGCTGTTTTTAAGCTCTTGTCCTCACCTCCATTTCTTCATACATGGCCAGTGGTCAACAATACCCTCCAGGATGACAGGCTTTTGTGGAATCAAATAATTATCTCTGAAATGCTCTAGAGAAGGGCAGTGGACCCGTGGAATAACTTCTTTTGACTTTATTGATGGAACGGTCGTGTGGTCATTCCGGATTTTCTGAAACACAGGGATTTTTTTAGCACAACAAAGTAACCTGCCCTTTATTACATCAGAAAACATGTATGTTAAAAACAGTGTGAGTCTCTCCCAGCAAAGGAGATGCTGAAATCACTTGAACTGAGGATGTAACATAAACAGGGAAAAAGCTACCGTCAACCTGTGGAACTCCTTGCCAGAGGATGTTGTGAAGGCCAAGACTACAACGGGGTTCAAAAAAGAACTAGATAAATTCTTGGAGGATGGGGCCATCAATGGCTATTAGCCAGGTTGGGCAGGGATGGTGTCCCAACCCTCTGTTTGCCAGAAGCTGGGAATGGGCGACAGGGGATGGATCACTTGATGATTCCCTGTTCTGTTCATTCCTTCTGGGGCACCTGGCATTGGCCACTGTCAGAAGACAGGATACTGGGCTAGATGGACCTTTGGTCTGACCCAATATGGCCGTTCTTATGTTCTTAAGCAGAACGGGGATAAAATCCTCAGCACTCCTCCAACCTGCAAAGACTTCCCAAAATACCCAGGAGTCTAAAGTAAACTGGTCTTATGTCCTAAGCGCATATGGATGGAGAAGCCAGATTTACAGCCTCCCTCAGGCATATTGGTGAGTGTGTGGGGAAGCTGACCTCCCTTTTGTGTTGCTTGCGCTGCCTAAACCCAGGGTTGTGAGTTCAATCCTTGAGGGGGCCACTTGGGGATCTGGGACAAAATCAGTACTTGGTCCTGCTAGTGAAGGCAGAGGGCTGGACTCTATGACCTTTCAAGGTCCCTTCCAGTTCTAGGAGATGGGATAACTCCATTAATTAAGTATTAAGTATTTAAGTATTTGTATTGCATGTCAATGGAACAGCCTGCAGTGTCTCACAAAAATCTCACAATTAGTAGCTGGTGGACTGACTTATGGAGGCTGCAATCATCAGTTCTTTCCCCAGAAGCAGGATATGGAATAGGAACAGAAGCAGAAAAGGAAGAGAGATTTCAGCTGGTCACCAAATAAAAAAAAAAAAGTAAAATATACAAGAAATTCTCCAGGCTGCACTGACAGCTGCTGCAAGTGGCAGCTCTTACAGTGTATCAAAGTAGTTCTGTGCCTGCAGGAAGAGTGATTCTGTGAATCCCAGGACTGGGAACCTAGAGACACTCTTTTCCTGTCTTTGCCACTGTGTGACCTCTGGCCCATCACATCTCCATTTTACAGATGGAGAAATTGAGGCACAGAATGGTGATGATTCTCATTTATAGGGCCTGCAAGGATCAATCCATTCATGTTTGTAAGATCTTTTGACTGAGATCCTTGAATGGAAGGTACCACAAAAGTGTGATAGAGGCCTCCCATTAATTGGGAAACCAGAGGATGATATAAGCAAGAAGTAGATAAAAAATGGGACAGAATACCTTTAGATCTGCAAATAAACTGAGAAAACAGGATGAAAAGTTCCATGTAAACAAAAAAAGAGGAATGATTGCATAAAAGCATCATCTTCTGCCTCTGTAAAGCTCATCTCATTTGCATTGTCTGAGATCTCTGCTTTTACCCAAAAACGAGAGAGGCCGAGTTACATGATTTACTCCCCAAGATCAGTGGCTCCTTGACCCAGCCTGGATTTTGGGATCTAGTTATTTGCTGGAATCACCAGTTCCTATTCTCTCTGTATGTAATACAGTGGTGGGCAAGAACATTGAGAGCTGCTACCTTTCTACATGACTCCTTTGTGTCTTCTTCAGCAGACCGTTTCCCACACGTCAGATGCTTCTGAAGGACATTAATTATCCTAACCAGGATGTTATCCAATATGGATGCTCCCATCAGCAGTCCCATGTCACAGACCCGAATCGTATCTGCTATGGTGCCTTGCTCACTGCACATACACAGCACTTTGAAAAGGCAGCCATAAGAATAGACTCGTCGCCAGTCCTTGTCCACATCTCTCCAAGTCCCAATATTAAGCTTTTCCCAAGAGTAATCTATTATTATCTCACTGACTTGTAAGCAGGTTTCCCTTGTGCTTCCAGAGCAGAGGCTTCCAGCTCCATAGAGAAGGTCTCTAGCTTGCTGCAGCAGTGAGATGACACTTTCCTCCACTTTCTCGCTGAAGTCCAATTTCAGGTCTTCTTTAGTGTTGGGCAGCAATGCCCTGATGTTGGCCCACATGGTGTTTCCTGCTGAGACCTGATCTGCAGCGGGGCAGGAGCTTGTGGCTAGGCCCTCAGGAGAGCTGGGTTGGGACATGAGGCACCCTAGGGGCTGACTACTGCTACTGGACAGCTGGGATTAGGGGCTGGTTCTCTTGCCCCACCACCTTCTGTAAACAAACACAAATGTTACTTTTGAGCAGAGCCAAAGGGGCCCAATGTGGAAGCCAGGCAGTCGCAGTGCCAGACCGAGAGCACCTCACGCCATGCACCCCTTCGCCCCAAGAGCACCCCTCCCTCTGAGTGTGCCCCACCCCCATGCACCCCCTCGCCCCATGCACCCCTCCCTCAGTGCCCCACCCTGTGCATCCCCTCACCCCAAGAGCACCCCTCCCTCTAAGAGTGCCACCCCCTTGCCCCTAGAGCACCCCTCCCCATGCACCCCTCCTTCTGAGAAAGCCCCATGCACCCCCTCACCCCAAGCACATCCCTGTTTGCTCCATGCACCCCTCCGTCTAAGAGTGCCACCCCCTCACCCCTAGAGCACCCCTCCCCCATGCACCCCCTCGCCCCATACACCCCTTCCTCTGAGAGAGCCCCAGGCACCCCCTCACCCCTAGTGCGCCTCCCTCCGAGTGCCCCTCCTCCGCGCAGCCCGGGAGGGGAGGGAACCACCTCGCGCCTCTCAGCAGCGCCGCCTGCCGGATCCCTGCAGCCACCGCTCCGCGCGCCACCCGGCGCTCCAGTTCCGCATCTACTGGGCCTGCGCAGCGCCGCCCCCACCCGGGCTGAGAGCGCGCCCCGACCATGGCTCCGCCTCCTGCGTCCCCCCGCTTCCCGGCCCCGCCCCCGCCGGCTCACTCCCCCCCCGGCCGCGCGCGGGCCCATAGGGGCGGCGCTAAGAGGGCGGGGCCTGGCAGGAGCTGCCACCCGCGGCCTGTGGGGAGCCCAATGCCCGCCCGCCCGTCTCAGGCTCTGCGGGGCTCGGCCCGGCTCCCGGGCGGCGGGAGGGCGACAGGCCCGGGCGATACGGGCCCGTGTCAGACCAAGTCCCTGACACGCCGGTGGGTGTGAACCCGCCCCGGCCGCCCCCTGCCCGCGAGCCGCTCCCGGCCGGGTCCGAGCTCCCAAGGGCCGAGGCAGTGGAGCCCGGTGCTGGGGTCAGTGAGCGGCGCGGGGCGGGGCGGGGAGCTGCAGCGGGGTCAGTCAGTCAGTCGGGGGTCAGAGCGCCCCGCCCCGCCCCGCCCCGCCCCGCGTGACCCGTGCGGTGACGTGGCAAGAAAGGCCCATGGCCCGGGGGGGGGCAGCGTTAACCGGCGTGTCAGTGCGGGGTACTTCATCCCCTCGAGCTCGTATTGGTGAACCGGGAAGTGGGCGGGCTCACCTGCCCAGGTGTGGGCGCTGCACGTTGATAACGACGTGGGCAGATGGGAGACAGCCCAAAGGGGAGCAACAGAAAGAAGAGGTTTAGAAAGCCTGGTCTATAAGGAAAGGCGAAAAGAATGAGGCGTGTCTAGAGAAGGCGCAGGGGGACATTATGACATCCGAAGAAGTGGGCTGTAGCCCACGAAAGCTTATGCTCTAATAAATTTGTTAGTCTCTAAGGTGCCACAAGTACTCCTGTTCTTTTTGCAGCTATGTAAAGGTGGTTAGAATGAGGTAGGACAAGAAGTAGTTGGCTTAATTTGCAGGAAGTGAGATTTATTTGCAATGTAAGGAAAAGGTTTCTAACTGTAAGGAGAGCTAAGCCCTGCAACAGGTTACTGTCTTGGAGATTTTTAAGTTCGGGTTACACAAGCATTTGTTAGAAATGGTCTGCGTATACTTAATCTTGCCTCAGCAAAAGGGGACATGTTAAATGACAGCGTGAGGGCCTTTCCTGCCCTATGATTTTATCTTTTTGGTGTAACAAACTATGTGTGACACAACATCCTAGACAGGTTTTGGGTAGAAGTCTGTCAATTTTCAATGTTAGAAGAGCAGGAAGGAGCTTGGGATTGCTTCCATCAGCCATGTTTTGGCCTCTGTGTTCTGGGCTCAGTCTATGATATCTATGGAGGATCAGTTATCTTGGTTAAGTAATAGGAAGGATCCATACCTTCTCTGAAGTGTTTCACGTATTTATCCTTGTGTGGTTTCAGTTTGTCATTTATATCAGGCCTAATTTTCAGGGTCTGTGGGCCTCTAGATTTTAGAGCAACATAAATAATAATAATGGCATCAGTCTGTAACCAATCAAGTACCTCCAAAATGTCATTAGCCATGCCCTTCTGTCCAGGCACTAATAACCACTTATTTCCATCCCCTTTCTGGGCTGTGCCATATGGTAATGTTTCCTAAAAGGCACAAGTAGAACCTTGATGTGTCATCACTTCCCTTTTAGCCATTAGAATAGTTAAAATATCCATTTACAGATTGAAATTTGAACATAATGCTGTAGAATTAAAAAAAACGGACATGCATATTATGTCCGTGTAAATACTTTAGAGCAACATAGAAATTCAAACCATGTAAAAAACCCAAAAGAAGTCACTGGGTTTGCAAAAAAGAAAAATCCAGCTTTTTCTCAATCTCCCTTGTATCTCTTTTATGTAGGGTTGTTTGGAGAAGACAACACCACCTCTGATCTGGACAATCGTTACTACAAAATATAAAGAGAGCTCTTTGCCACAAGTTGTGCTGGGATCTGGATTTGGTAGAAAGCATTTTGGTTTGAAAAACCATTTGTCACTCAGAATAGGTTAATAGGCTACGGCCATGATTTTGCTTATGATGTGGCCATGAAGAAAGTAGTAGGTTCCTTTGTCTGCCTGTATTGTATTTGCAGCTCTCCCAATATGTCTGTGACTTTTAGTAACATGCTGATTTCTCCGTCTTCCAGATCATCAGTGAAAATGTTAAACAAAATGAGACCTGACACTCGTCCTGGTAGAATCACTAGATATCTGCTTCATACATGACCATTTATTATTTTCCTGTGTTTATAGTTCTGTCAGTTTTCAATCTTCATGATTGAAATATCCAAACTGATTCCAATTATTTTTCTATTAAGATTTTATGAGGCACAGTATCAAATTCTTTACTAAAATCCAAATATATTACATCATATCTGATCCCTTCACCCATTAATTTTTGCAATTCTGTCAGAAAAGAGCAATCACATTTGTCTGGCAAGATTTATATTTTATAACCTCCCAGTGCTGTTTATGTCTCATGACTGTTACCTTTCAGATGTTTAGTGATTTTTTTAAAATGAAAATATCTTTTATTATTTCACTAAGGACTTACAGGAGGGTAATTGGGGGATCTCTTTTCCTTCTTGTTTTGAAGACTGGTACTGAGTTCGTTGTATTCCAGTCTTCCGGTACCTCTCCACTTCATGATCTATTAAAAAAATTGACAAAATGTTTATGTTCATCCTTTAACAGTTTATAAAACATGTAATCTGAATTTGCTAACTTCACATTGTAAATTTACAAGTATCCCCCCATACCTGCTATTTATCAATAGGTGTTTTTACAAAGACTTCCTAATTTTCAAAACTCATTTTCTCATTCTAGGTTTTAAAATATTCTGCATATCACTGTCATTTTCAAGAGTTTATTAAACTGTTTTTATCAAGGATGTGTTCTTGTCTCCTTTGGTTTCTCTTCAGATTTTTGGTATTAGCTTCTCTGTTTGTCACTTCTGTTGCTATCCAGTAGGTATCCCCATTCAGGCCTTAGCTTATTTTATCTCATACTTACTTTTATTGTCCAGGATCAGGCCCATTAGCTAAGCTGCGTCAGAGTCCCATGACTGGAACAGAATGAGTTGCTACAAGTCATAGTTGAAGGACATTGACAAATCCGTATGGCTGTTGCAGTCAGGACTGAACTGTATTGGGTTTAGGATTATAATACGATAGGGTGGTCTGAATCAGGATTAAGGAATGTCACCAGACTTTGATAGGAGAAGCTTGCAGAGCACTTGCCTGCTTTGCATCTGGGTTTGGCCATTGGTACAAGTCTTTCCCTGCCAAGAACTTTGATGGAGGAGTAGGGTATGTTATTGGATTTGGTTAATTATTGGGTTTGTCTTGTAAATCTCTGATACTATTTCCTAATGAAGTATTTAGCTCTGTAGTGTATTAACCTGTTAGCAGTACAACAGCTAACTGCAATGCAGTGGAACACAACTAAATCTGTTGTATTCAAAACAATACATATGTGGTGTTATTTGTCAATATGGATCTTGGATTTGCAGCTTGCATTACTTGCTGGTGGAATATGTGAGAGCTAGGACCTTTTTTTAAGGGTAAAAGCTCTTTTGAGTGCAACAGTTTATACAAAGCATGTAGAGGCATATTGATTCCTACTCTACAGCTACACGGAAAGCTAGGTAGAAATATTTAGGAGCATAATTTTTGCTTTGCCTATTAGAAGAGTTACATAGTCCTTTACAAATTACATTTGAAAGGTTCAGTTTTGTGTGAAAAACAACTTGTTCTGGTTGGTAGTATTTAACAGTTAAAATGGATTAAAATACTAACTCAGGATTATTTTCGTTTTTTTCTTTTTAGATAAATTAAGTTTTAATGATAGGTTTTGTCCAGAATCATTTGTCTTTAGCCACATTACTGGAGTGTACATCCAGTTTCTGAAAGCTGCAAAATTGGCCATTAGTCTGTACAAACACAGCATAAGGGGTTTTTAGGCTTTGTGGAAGGACACTGAACACAAAACTATGATTTAGCAACAATGGGCTGTTTGCTCTTCTCACTGAAAAGCTGAAGCTGAAAAAAAAAAAAGCAGGCTTGAATCCTTTGGTCTTTAATTACCAATGGCTGGATCTCATCCTGCCATATAAAAACCTGGAGATGGACCAGAAAAGGAGGAATACTCCATCAGGTCCCCTGAAAGAGTTTTCCGCACCCCTTATGCTCCCATAAAGAATGGGCAGGGGGTTTGGATCCCACAAGATCCACTGGAAGGTCAGGCAACTGGATCTGTGTTCCTGTCCCATGGTTCCCCTGTCTTCCTCCTACTCACAGGCATCTTTGCTCCTTTGTGCAACTCACTGAAGCACATTCCATTGAAATATGTATGACATCTTTGTTTCTTTTCCATTCTCCTCCTCATCAATATACATGAAATAGTTTAGAAAATAGATAAAACAAGAATCTTTTTACTTCGTATTTATTCCAGTCTATACAAAGTTACTGTTGGGAAAATCAAGTGTTTACCAAATACATGCTGAATATAGCTTGTCTCTAAAATGCGGCATAGCTCAAAAATAGTACATTGCATAAGAAGCAGGCTCTTTGTATTTTAAGTAAGAGGGACATAAATTACAGCCCCTATTAAAGAGCAGAACTTACAATTTTCCAAGGTTATTCTCATTAAATCCATGTGCGATGGGAAATAGCTCTATATAGGACTGACTTACTCTTGTGACGTAGTAGTATGTGTTGCGGGTATAGTAAAATAACATTGAACTATATTTATTTCTAAGCAAAATCCCTAGATCACAGTTCACCTTAATTTCAGCACACTGACTGACTATTTGCCACACCAGCAGCTGAAACGAGAGGTGTCAAAAAGATTAAAAGAATCCCTTTTGGCTGCATTTATAATATGGAAACTCATATGAATGTCAACACTTTTCACATTTGACATGAACACTACTTAAGCTGATCACAGAATATCAGGGTTGGAAGGGACCTGAGGAGGTCATCTAGTCCAACCCCCTCTTCAAAGCAGGACCAATCCCCAGACAGATTTTTGCCCCAGATCCCTAGATGGTCCCCTGCAGGACTGAACTCACAACCTAGGGTTTAGCAAACCAATGCTCAAACCACTGGTGCTGCACAAAACAGAGGGTCATTGCTGTTCAACTAGTATTGGATGCGGGGTTTGGGACGGAGCTGGATCTAGCAACGGATTTAAAAATGATTCAGTCTGTAGTGTAGACCCAACCTTATATGCTGCAGAAATCCATCCATAATTTGTGCTCATAATGTAAGAATACAGGGATAGAGACACTAGTTGCTGGGCAGAGCACAGTATTGGGATTCATCTGCCTCATTCTCATTTTCTTTGAGACAGCTACATCTTCTGATACAATTTGTTCTGAGTCAGGTCCTTCCTCTTATTCATTTGTCACTTAATCTGAACATGCTGAGGAAACTTTCTGACAAAACAGAATCATTATGTGATGTTGCTTGTGTGAGAGAGAGAGAGACACACACACACAGGAGGTTGAAAGTGGCACAATATACAGCATTTATCTACTGAGCACCTTGCCTTCCTGGATCCTCATTAGGGCTTTCAGACACAAGACAAAAGAACGTGATGATGGTAGAGGACTTTGACTCCTTGAAGCATTTCAGAGATGCAGGTCTTGTTTTTCCTTTAATGCCTCTTATCCTTTTTCTTCCTTCAACCTTACCAGATAATATGGCGATTACCAGACGTCTTCTTGCATTAATTTTATGATAACATTTCAGACTAGATTTGCACGATGCATTCTGTTACCTCCAGAATCTTTGATTATATTCTCTTGAAATTCAGCATGCACAGAACTGGCCCATTTGAGTAAAGCAAAAAGAAACTGAACATCTGGAGAGAGAAATAAAGGAACCAGTAGGGAAGCCTTATCTACTCATAAACTACATTTACATCCATTTGCAAAGTATAATCCACTAATGACAAAGAATGTAGGCCATATTTACAGGTTGGGGGGACTCTATCCTGGGAAGCAGTGACTTGAAAAAGGCTGGGGATCATGCTGGATAATCAGCTGAACATGAGCTCCCAGTGCAAGGCTGTGTCAAAAACAGCTAATGTGATCCTGGCATGCATAAAAGAGGAGAATCTTGAGTAAAAGTAGATTATATTACTTCTGTATTTGGAACTGGTGCAACCAGAAATACTGTGTCCAGTTGTGGTGTCCACAGTTCAAGAAGGATGTTGGTAAATTAGAGAAGGTTCAAGGAACAGGCACAAGAATAATTAAAGGATTGGAAAACCTGCCTCAGTGATTGACTTGAGGAGCTCAATCTATTTAGCTTAACAAAGAGAAGGTTAAGGGGTGACTTGCTTACATGTGAATGATGGTGGTGGGGTAGAATGATGATATGAAGAAGATGGCTATTCTGCACTTTGAACCTTTTTTTGTTTTGAAAATGGGTTAATATATTTATAAAAACTACAGATGAGTGCTGAAAGGCTTAGCTATTTTTGGATTGCAGACTGTCACATGCAGCAATGAAGCAAAGTCTACTATGGACCTTCCTATGCTAATCTAATTAATATGGGAGTTGCTCAGATACTATGGTTGACAGTACCAGTACAAAACCCTAAGATAAATAGATACCTTGTGTCAGGTAGGGGCACTCCGGGGTTGATAAAGGGGATCCCAAATCCTGAGTCGTCAGATGCCTCTGCTTAAATGCCAGTCCCCTTCTTTTTAACAATTGAACAATAACTTTATTTTTAAGGTGGGGGGAGCCATCAGGTGATACCAGGAATGAACCCAGGAAGAGACCCCTTGTAGGATTTACTCATTCTCCTTGTTGTCAACAAGCTCACTCAGTCACAAATTTTTCCTATAAATGCCGTGCCCTGACAACTCTGGAAGCATCTCCTCATTTTGTTCTCTTTGCTTGCCTGTGAGCCAGCCTTCCTTGCCATAGTTATCGATCACTCCCCCTCCTGCTCTACCATAACTGGCTCCCTATCCATTTGTAAAATCCAATACAAAATTGATCTGTTGTCAGTATTCTGTAGATTTGGTTCACTTGCTTGTTTTGGTGATCCATTCTTGGTTTCCCCTCTCGCTTTCTCTGTCTTTGAGTCTCCTCAAAAGGATTGGAGCTTTTGCTGTCCCGGCCCATTTATCTAGAACTTGGCTGACCACTCTCAGCCATTGAATGTTAAATGTGTGCTGATGCTTTGTATGCAGACTGCTATTGGAACATTTATTGCCTTGGAAAGGGACACTTCTTTTGTTAAGCCACATTTGTCAATATTTGATCAGTCCAATGTTAACAAATGTTGCAAACTTTACTTTGATGGACTTTCTGATTGGTCGTGCCATCTAGATGAACTTTTAAATTCCTGAAGTTGCAAGCAATGTAAATCTGATTCTTATTCAGTCATTGTTTCCCAAAGTTTAAATATTATTCTCAGGAATCTCTCCACAAATTGCAGATTACATTAGAAAGATTTGGATTTTCTATTGCCAAATAACACCATGTTCTGTACACACAGTCTCTAGAAGAATATTGTGGTATAACAACCTTGGAGAGGTTGAGGAGTTCTGTAAGTGAAGAGCCAGTCAGGCACAGATTTAAACTCTGATTAAAAGTACACCTCTACCCCGATATAATGCGACCCGATATAACACGAATTCGGATATTTATTTATTTATATTTATTTATAATGCGGTAAAGCAGCGCTCCGGGGGAGCGGGGCTGCATGCTCTGGCAGATCAAAGCAAGTTCAATATAACGCAGTTTCACCTATAACACGGTAAGATTTTTTGGCTCCCGAGGGCAGCGTTATATTGGGCTAGAGGTGTATTGATGCCAGGAGTGTCAATGAGAGAGAAGAGAAAGGGTACAGGTACTCACTATGCCATGCTGCGCATACAGTGGATGGGGATTTACTTATAAAATGGTTATATTGTGTTCAATGATTTGAATAATGGAATATCTTGAAATATTCGTGTACTTGACTAGGTCTCTTTCAGTTAAAATATGATAAAAGCAGATTTTTAGGCATATGTTGTGTTTGTGTTTGGCCCTTGGTTTAGAAAATATTATTAACAGCTTGCAGTGTTGTCCTACAGCTAATGACCTGGTTGAGAGTGACCAGGATGCAAATGTATTTTGGTGGATGCAAATGTATTTGCGAAGGCTGAGTCATAAAGTCTTGCCATCTGATAGCAAATTGAAATGCTTGCTGTGTCAGGTGTCAGCCATATCGAGAGCCTCTTGTAGTAGATCCAGGAGAGTGAATTGTATGTACAGTTTTTCACTTCTAAGTCACTGACACTAGTCCAGCCCATGTTATCAGTGAACAACGGTTATTACCATTTGAGGGTTGCTGGGCAGCCTGTGGAAATCAATTATGGAACTCTGTTTCAATTCCTTGCAGAGCAGTGTCACCACCACAAGTGCTGCTGCTACCATTTTCATCAGAGGAGCCAAGGTTTTAATGGGTTCTGGAGACTGACCTGTCCTCCTACCCAGGAAATGGTGCTTGCAAAACAGGGCTGAAGATGATCAGGGAGTCAGCAAGAAGAATCTTTCACTGCTTCTGCCTGTACTTTACTAATTCTGCAGACAGAGGACATTCATTCTCCAGGGATTTCATCTTCCACTTGCACTGTAATTCATGTGGAAAATATTTATTTTTTAAAAATGAGTAATAAGTTGAAAAAGAAGAAAATAAAGAGCCAGTAAACGTACCTTGTTTTCAGTTCCTTTTGTCAACCATGGATTCCTGGGAGCCAGAGACAGGGAGCTATGGTTATGTTACATTGTTAGTCCGGTGTAGAAAAATGATATATTGGACCAAATGTCTGAGGATGGCTCTGCACCTACAGTCCCATTGACTTCATCAGGAATAGCAGGTGTTCAGCACCCTCAGGATTTGACTCATTATTTGTAGCCATCTTTTCCTTTATAACACTCTTTCCTCATTTGCTAATTTGAATTAATCAAGAAAACTCTGCCATTGGTTTTGGATTTTATTAAAATAACATCAACACATGCTCAGCAATTCAGTAGTTAAGTCCTAAGTGGGACATTTTTACTAGATGGATTGATT